CTTGATTTTTTATTGTTGTCGTTATGTGCCCTCGAGTCGGACCCAACTCATAGCGACCCTTTCTTGGGTTTCCGAGGCAGTATCATTACGGAAGTAGATTGCCCCATCTTCCTTCCGAGGAGTGGCTAGTGGGTTTGAACCACCAGCCTTCTGGTTAGCAGTCAAGTGCCTTAGGCACTATGCTACCAGAGCTCCCAAGTGACTTGTTTTATGACCTGGCTTATCTTTCTAAAACTACTTGCTATTTCATAGTTTTGTGCTTTACCATTAAGTGTTACTCCTAATCTTTTGAGATCAAGAGTCTCAGTCCTTGGTTTATGTTGCACCCCTGACATATCCCAACATCCTCAATTCTCTATTAAAACCATCTTGCCAATATTCAATTCTGAATCAGTCTTCTTGCTCATTGGCTTTGCTTCTACTCTTAGGCTGATAGGGGTCGCTGGAGGAAAAACCATGTGTTTAATAATGAATTACTAGAAATGTATGATAGCAAATCTCAGCTAGGCATCTGATGCTCCTTGGCAATTTCTTAATTTACCCTATTCCCAATAGCATCTATTCCAAACTTTTATATTCTTTTCAGGTCTCTTCCCTATCCTTGATGCCTTCATTGCCAGCAGAATTCTACATTCTGTTTCCCCCCAGAAAACAGAATCTAGAAGGAATTAATTTTCTCAGCTTCCTCTTCTCTACTTTAGTTCAATTTTCACCTATCTGTGCTCCTCATTCCACCTGTGCTTTTGATCCTAATCATTTCTCCCTTCTCTAGAATCTTGCTCATTTATTACTTATTATTATTCAAAATTTCAGGCCTTCCCATTCTATTGTTTCCTTCCCCTCACCCTGTGAAGTTGCTTAAGTCTTCCTCAGTACTCCCAATACACATCCCCTTGTCCCACTTCTCCCTTAGTCTACCTGCCATCTTATCTTTCTTTCCTTTCATGATCAAACTTTTAAAAACACTTTACTTTTCTATCTCTACCTTCTCACATCTGACTTCAACTCTCTGAAGCCAGGATTCAGTTTGAGTGACTCTATTGAGTTCTCTCAATGACTTGCTCATTTTAAATCCAGTGATAACTTGTCAGGTTCACACAATGACCTCTTTGCACTTAAGACAACCATTTCCCTTCTTTGATTTTAGCAATGTAACTTTCTAGGTCCACTAGGTCCACCTCTATAATGAGGCTTTCTTTACTTCTCATCCTCCCTCTCTGTCCATTCAACACTGATGTTTACTGATATTTCATACTTCTCCCTCTTCTCTTCTGAATCTCAACTCTTTCTCTTTAGTCTCATCCACTTTTCCGGGTTCACTTATTTGCTTATATGTTTTTGTGTGCTGTCAAGTTGATTTTTGATTGACAGTGACCCATGTGACAGAGTAGAACTGCCCCATAGAGTTTTCTAGGCTGTAATCTTTAAAGAGCAGGTCAGCAGGTCTGTTCCCCCTCTGGAGCCACTGGATGAGTGTGAACTGTGAACCCTTTGGTTAGCAGCCAAGTACTTAACCATTGCATCACCAGGGCTTCTTTATTTGTGTATAGTTTTCTAAATCTGTATTTCTAGCCCCAAACCTCTCTATGTAGCTCCTGATCTGCACTTCCAATTGTCTACCAGACATACCTACTTAGATTCCCCATAAGCAGTGCATCAGGCAAGATTGACTAGATTATGCAGTGGTAACAAGAAAACCAAAAATCTTAGTGACTTACGAAGCTTTATTTCTTGCTCACATTCACTACGGGTCTGCTGCAGCTGTGACCCTGCTGTCCTTCCTTTGCAACCTAGGCTGACAGAGAAGCATCTGTCTGGAACTTTGCCATTCATTGTGGCAGAAGAGAAAAAAGATACACGACAAACTACATGCTGATTCTTAAAGCTTCTGCCCAGAAGTAACACATTTTAGGCCACATTTTGTCAGCCAATGCAGGTTGTCACATGGCCACCCCCCAAGTTAAGTGGGTGGGGATATATAATCCTCCACTGTAGAGAGGGAACTGGAATATTGGGCAACAGTGACATAATCTACTACCAGGTATTCCAAGCAAAACATGTCTAAACCTTCTACTTACTGTTTTATCCCCATCCAAATCATATTCCTCCCTCTATTTTCCTTATATTCTCTTATTTGGCATCATTATCTATTAAGTCAGTCAAACTAGAAACTTCAGAGTTGTCTTTACATTCTTCTCTTCCCTCCTGTTCCCCCATATCAGGTGGTCAAACTGTGTTCGGCCCTGAAATGTCTCTCCTATAAGTACTTTCTGCGTGTTCACACTGGCCTAGGTACAACTCTTTTGTATTGCAGGAGACTCCGAATTCTCTCCCTAGCTCCGTTCCTCCCTCACAAGAGCATCTTCCGCCCTGCTCTGGTTAGGGCTGGGTTTTTGAAATACAGATCTTATCGTACAACTCCCCTACTCAACAATCTTCAAGGATTCTCCACTGACTATCAAACGCTTCTCTGTGGTGTTCAGTGTTTTCCCAAACTAGTCAAAAGATAATATTTTAGTTTCATCTTTCACCATGCCCTCATACACCTTCCATTTCCCATATATATATATTGTAAATTTTTATCCCCTCCTTTTTCATTGTTTTTTGTTAAAATTTAGATAGTCACATTCATCTTTTTTATTCCAGTTTTGTGAATTTTAACAAATATATGTAGTCATGTAAGCATCATCACAATCAAGATATAGAACAATTCCATCACACCAGATTCTCTAGAGCCCCTTTGTAGTCAACCCTTTATCTTACTGAGCCCTTGGCAACCATTGATCTGCTTTCTATTCCTATAATTTTGCCTTTTCCAAAAAGTCATATAAATGGAATCATATAGCCTTTTGAGTCTGGCTTCTTTTACTTAACCTAATGTATTTGATATTCATCCAGGTTGCTGTGTGTGTTAGCAGTTTGTTCTTTTTTATTGCTAAGTTATTTCATGGTTATGGATGTGCCAGCCATTCCTGAGTTTAGGGATATTTAGAGGATGTTACTAGTTTTCATCCCGTCCTCCTTTTCAACTCCTACTTAATCCTATAAAGCATGACTCAGCTATTTCCCCTCATTCCCCAGGTCTTCCTAGTGTCTTCCAGAATGCCCTTTTCACATTGCACTGCAGTTCATTGTGTGTGGTTTTCATTAAGAGCAGGAAGACAAGTTCATTTGCTCCCGCTATGCCTCTCCTTCTTATCCCCAGCATGTGCAGCAGAGCTTGGTACTTGGGTGCACAAGCAATAATTGTTGAATATGCTTGGCTCTCCTTTTCCCTAGGGCATCACCTCTTTAGGCTCTCATCTTTTTTTTTTTTTTTGGTTTGTTTGTTTGTTTAAAAAAGAGATCCCATGATCAAATATATTTGGGAAATGCTATATACTCTTATCTCCTTCTTTCAAATTATGCATTACTAAACAAAGGTTCTGAGAAGTCATACAATAGAAAAGTCTTTTTTAACTTTGGTTTAACCCAAACCAAAAAAACTAAATTCATTGCCTCCTCGTCTAGTCTAACTCATAGTGACCCTATAGGACAGTAGAACTGTCCCCATAAAGTTCCCAGTGCTGTAAATCTATGAAAGCAGACAGCCTCATTTTTCTCCTGTGAAGTAGCTGGTGGGTTTGAACTGTTGACCTTCTGATTATCAGTGGTTAGCCAAGTGCTTAACCATTGTGCCATGAGGGCTCCTTATGGTTTAACCCAGTGTTACTCAAATTTGTTTGACTGTAAAACACCTGAATACATTCTGCAGAGATAATATTCTTGAAGAACACATTTTGGGAAACTGACACAATACTAGAAACGTTATAACTCAATTACATTTTCTCTTGTCTGTCTAGGTACCCAAGATCACATATGAATTTGATAGACTTTTTCCCCGTACTCATAGATGTTATTATGTACATTGATGTATGTTTGTTAGCAGAAAGAAACAATAGTTAGAAGGCAGTCAAACTTTCATTGAATTTGTGCCTATATGCTAAATAAACCCAAACCAAACCCACAGCCATTGAGTCAATTCTGACTCATAGTGACCCTTTTAGGACAGAGTAGAACTGCCCCTTACGGTCTCCAAGGTTGTAAATCTCTATGAAGGTAGACTACCTCATCTTTCTCCTGGCAGAGTGGCTGGTAGGTTTAAACCGCCCACTTTTTGGTTAGCAGAAAAATGCTTTAACCACTATGCCACCAGAATACCTGTATGCTAAAGAGACTTCATGATCTTGAACACTGCTGTGCAATAGAAGAGAGTAAAAGCTGACCAAATTGCAAGATTTAATTCCTTTACTTGTAACTACATTTCTTCTCTCTGCCTTCTTAGAAGTTTGATTTTTAAAGTTTTGACTATAGAAGAACCTTAGAATTTTTAAAGTGTAAGAGATCATCACCTAATTTTATAGATGATTAGACTGAGGGCCAAAAACAATTAAGCTTTGTTCAAGGGATGTAGTTGCCAGGCTGGGCCTAGATCTGAAACTCTGGTTACCTCCATCCCATTTCAATGCCTCCTTCCTGATAATGTGTGTGCTGATGACTTAAATTCTTTTATCAACCCATAAAAGTATTTATTTTATTGAACCTGGTGAGCCAGTTCAAAGATTCCTTCACCTGAATTTTTACTTTTTACTCCACGTAAGATATAAATCTGCTTTTTCATTTCTTTATTTTTTTGGTCAGGAAGTTTATCCATAATAAATGTCAGTTTTTTTTCCTCTGTCAATATACTAATGTGTTATCTGTAAATAGATAAAGGTAAAATAATTTTTTGTCTAGATTCACCTAGAGAGACCCTGGAGTATATTTGTTTGAGAAAATACTTAAGGATGAAACAGTTGAATTAAGGAAAAAGTTACAGGGGATTCAGTATCTGGCATTAAACTGGTTTTCGGTACTTAAAAGTAGTTTACCAACTTGTTGCCAGCTTACACATAAAAAATGGCTTGAGCACAGTTTGGCACGTGGATGACTAATAACTTTTTATTTTTTTTTTTTTGTAGGTGGGAAAAAGTGGGAATGTACCAGCAGGCACTACAGTGGATAGTACCATCACACATCCATCAGAGTTTGACTTTTACCTCTGCAGTCATGCAGGAATTCAGGTAATTTGGAAGCTGGTCTAGATCTTTGGCTTGATAGGGTGATGTTTGTATATTCAGCAACTAGCTTGAGTAGACTTGTTATTAAACCCTGTGCATAACTCTGTTAATGCTTTAGCCTAAAACTGTTACAATTTGCTTTAGGTATCAGCTTGTAGATGTGCTGAGTAGAAATACTTCTGAGTTTAAGGAATAGGTTTCAATTCTTCTCTCCTCTTGGGTAGTCAACCCATATTAGAAATATATTAATTATAAAACTCTCTCTCCAGGGAACCAGCCGTCCTTCACATTACCAGGTCTTGTGGGATGACAACTGCTTTACCGCAGATGAACTCCAGCTACTGACTTACCAGCTATGTCACACCTATGTACGGTGCACACGCTCAGTCTCTATTCCCGCCCCTGCATACTATGCCCGGCTTGTAGCATTTAGGGCAAGGTATCATCTGGTGGATAAAGATCATGACAGGCAAGTTTCTTAGGCATAATAAAATCTCTTTCTATTTTAGCAGCATGTTAAATAATGAGTTACTTTAGAAAACTTCTTGAAAGATTTAAGCCTCCTCTTAGGGTTTAGATTGCAAGGAGCAAAAAAAGTTGCATGTATCTTTGAGAGCTTATAATGTGACTTTTGGTCCAAGAAATGCTGAGACTTGTTTATACTGGTATGGTTTGTCTAAAGCCTGCCCAAGGGAAGAGTCTGGAAGTGCCTGTGGTTTTCCCATAGAACCAAATGTATTTCAGTTCTGCTCCAGTCCTCAAAAGGTGGTCTGCCTGGTGCCCTGGTTCCAGTTAGAGACAGGCCTGTGGATTCCATCTCCTGTAAGTGGAAAGTCCTTACCACTCCACTTTCCTTTCAGCATAATCTGGAAGAATGAACCAGAGTGAACCTGGGCATATGTGGAGGGATTGAGTGCCAGACTCTTACCCCCAAATGGGGATCTCAAGATATTTTGACCTATTACTGAGCTACTATTAACTACCTAAAGAAGCTCTCTGCATTGATTTTCTTTTTCAAATGACCATCTGTGAAGTGTAGCAGTTTCTGGGCTCTTCCCCAAGTCTGAATTCGGCTGCTAAATACTAGACTAGACATTCCACTGCAAGCCTATTTTCTGTAAGGGCTGAAGATATGCTATTACGAAAAATGCCTAACTGTGGGTTTATACCTTCCCTTCTGTAATATACATTCATTTATTCATTCAACACATTTACTAGGTATTGACTGTGTGCCCAGTACTGTGCTAAAAAAAAAAAAAAAACTCACTGCCATCAAGTAGATTCCAACTCACAGTAGCTCCCATTGGGTTTCCAAGACTATAAATCTTTTTTTTTTTTTAATTTTTTATTGTAATTTGGGTAAAAGTTCACAGAACAAATTCATCTTCCATACAGCAGTTAACATACACTTTGTCTCATGACATTGACTATAATCTCCTACAATGCAACAGCTCCCCTCCCACTTCCTCCCCATAGCCACCTCTTCCCTGTGTCCTTCCCTCCATGCGCTCCTGCCCCCTCCCCCAGCTGTCTCCCTGTGCATACACAGCCCTTCTATTCTCCAATGACTGATCTCTCCAAGAAGTGTGTCTACCTAATGTAAATGTTCAGCTCATATGCCTGTCTTTTGTTTGGCTGGAAGCCATAGGAGTGGGTTCAATTCCAGACCTAACAGTCAGCTAGGGGCCATAGTCTCAGGGGTTCCACCAGGCTCTACCAGACCAGCAAACCTGGCCTTCCTTTTTTTAATGATTTTGAGTTTTGTTCCACATTGTTCTCCCACGCTATCCAGGAGCTCCTACATAGATCCCCCAAGGCTATAAATCTTTACGGAAGCAGACTACCTCACTTTCTTCTGTTGAGCAGCTGACTGGTGGGTTCAAAACACTGATCATTTGATTAGCAGCCAAATGCCTTAACCACTACATCACCAGAGCTCCTAGGTACTAAAAATACTAAGATGAGTAAGACATGTTTCCTGCCCATGGGGATTTTATGTTTCAGTGTAGGCAGCAATACAAGCAAATAAGATAACTGACAATTAGCCCAAAGCAGTATAGAAAAAAATGCAATGGGACATCGAAGGAAAGACAGAAAGAATTTCATAACTGGATGGGTGAGATTTGGCTCTATAAAGAAGGGAAGATTTTCTTGGTAGAGGGAACAATGGACACAAAGGAGGGAAAACAAGTGACATGTTTGGATAATAGCAAGTTTTCTTTATGTGGAGAATATTAAAAAGGAATAGCAAGGATGAAGCTGGAAAAATCTGTGAGAGCAAGCTTAACTTTGTCAAATGAGAAATTATATTCTTGGGATAGAATAGATCAGACTTGACTGTTAATTGGCTGTGAATAGCTGAGGAGGGGATAAAGTAAAAGATGATTGAGACTTCAAGGCTAGATGATAAGGGTAATAATAATAATTAGAGAAATCATAAGGGGGTGATGATGTACAATGAATGAAGTCTTTTATATTATATTGGGACCCTTAACAGGTAGGTTCAGAACTTGTTATTGTTGCCCCAAGAAACCAAAGGTCAAACCAACAGCCAATATTACCCTCAATGGAGAGAGACTGAAACCATTCCTCTTGAGAACAGGAACTAGACAAGGATGCCCGCTATCACCACTTC